TGGTCGGTGGCAGCAGGGGACACCCCGGGTCCCTCAGGCGGTGGGGATGGGCTGCGTGGGATCATGCTCTGGTACCATTCCCGGTTGTCCTCCAGTGTGTCCAGGATCTCCTGGGCATCAGGGTGCACCAGGTCGGCCCACGTCTCCCACAGTGGGTGGGCAATGAAGTCGATGAAGCCCAGCTGGAGAAAGGCAGAGCTGAGCCCTCAGCCTGTCCCTGTGGCCCCCCCACCCTGCCCCCGCAATGCTGCCCCACCTGGGACTTCTCCACGGAGGCAGTGTGCTTGTCACACATGGGGCTGATCTCCATCCCCTTCTCCCGCTCCCGATCGCCTTGGCGGAAGAACTCCACCATGATGCGGTCAGTCCATTGCCGGTACAGCTCCAGCGGCTTCGTGGGGTTGCTGAGGTCGGCGCAGTGCACCATGTTCTGCAGGACCTGCGGACGCAGCCACGGCATTGCTAACCCAAAGTCCTTTGTCCCTCAGGGCCACCACCCCCCTGTGCCAGGAACCCCCTTAGCCATGGCCAACTGGGGCTGGGAGGGGTGGTGGCACCAAACAGGACAAGCCGGCAGCCCCGGCCAGAGCCAGGACCAATGCCTGCAATGTCAGGAAGCTTTCTCCACCCGTGTCCTTGTGCCCACCTGGATCCGGTCGGAGTAGTTGTCCAGCAGCAGCACCCCCAGGCTGGTCACCTTCTTGGTCTCCACCATGGTTTTCAAATCCGCCAGCAGATTCATGTGCTTGGACATGTCCGTGGCCAGCACCTGGGCAGGGCCAGCCAGGAATGGGGCTCAGCCTGACCCCACCACAAAACCCCCCAGCCCAGACCCCACACCCTAGGGTGGTCCAGGCCCCCCCCCATACCATGTCGATCACCATTTTGCGGAGAGACTGCCTCTGCTTCTTGCTCAGGTTTTGGAAGATGTCACAGTTCTCCTCCTGGAGAAGCTTGAAGCCCACAGCCAGGTGATGATTCTCGAGCACTGAGGCATCGTTGTACATCAGCGCCAGCTCTGAGTCTGCAAGACGGCACCGGTCACCCTGGGGTGGCTCCTGTACGCTGGGATACACACACACCCACCCCCTCAGCTCCATCCTAGCACCCCAGCTCACTGGTGTTGATGAGGAACTGGTTGGAGACACCAGGGTGGTCAACATCATGGATGGCGCTGGCAAAGATGGCAGCCATGATCTCCAAGTCTGTGAAGACAGCCTAAGAATGGTGGGAAAAGGCATTGCAGATGTGTTATAGCCCCACCAGAGACACTTGGTGGCCTCGGTGACCTTGGGTGACCAGGGCTCACCTCCAGAGCGGGCGTGGAGAGGAGGACATGGGTAGACTGAGCCACATCAGCGGCGTGGATGTTGTTGTGGTAGGCCACGTCAGCGTGGTAATGATCCTCCAGCGTCAGCATGTAGGTGATGAAGGTGTTGACGGGGATGCGGAAGGTCTTCATCAGGTCACGCTCCTGCAGGGAGGCAGGAGGTGGCTTGTCCCCATCCGGGCATGGGGATGGGGATGTCCCCTTGGGATGCTCACCTGGAAAATGCTGTACATGATGACCGTCAGCGGGCGGTTGCCCGAGTACTCAGCGACTTTAAAGACGTTGAGGCCCCACTTGTTGGTGTCCTCCAGCTCCTGGGGACGAAAGGGACAGAGGTCCATGCGGGGCCAATGCCAGGGACCCCATGGCCAGCCGGGTCACCCATGTTGGGGCCCACCTTGGCCAGCAGCCCCTCCTGGTCTGTCCGCACCCCGAAGCGGGGGATGCCGGCAGCGGCGAGGCTGGAGCCATGCGTGAGCTTCCTGACGCCGCTGATCTGGGACATGGGACGCTTCCTCCGCTCCTTCTCCTTGTCCTTGGCCAGTGCCGAGGGGATCTCCACCTCATGCTGCTTGTCTGGGTTGGCACGGGGGGCCGTGAGCAGGGGGGGAGCCCAATCCCCCCCCCCTCTGCTCCCCGACATCCCTCCTGGTCATGCCGATGACATCAGCTGGCACAACACCGAGATGCCATGGCAACGGGGGGGGCTGCATGGGGGATGCCCAGCACTTTCCCTCACCCCCCTGCACGGGACAACCCGCCTGCTGTGGGGCCCAGACCCTGCCCTGGACACCCCTCTAACAGCCCCAGTGCACCAGTGTGCACCAGTATACACCAGGATGCACCAGCACTCCCATACAGGTCTAAGGCTGTGACACCCCCAAGGCAGCAAATCCCACGGGGACACCTGGGAAAGCACCCCCACCCCCACCCCACCCCACCCCGCTCCTCCCATTTCATTTCTTTGCAAGAAGCAAGCAGGACTGGCCGCTGGCACCGCCCCCGCTGCTCCC